TAGATGACCCGGGCTGCTCCTTTGGGGATGAGCGCTACTCATGTCTTCTATTTAGATCCATATCTATCTATCTATCTATCTATCTATCTATCTATCTATCTATCTATCTATCTATCTATCATCTATCCAAATACGGTATTTTAATCCTGTCTTATGAATACTCATGATGCATATATTTATATCCTCAAAGAGGTTGCCATTTTTTCAGCACATATGCAAGAATTACATTTTATGTATGTCCAAAAGTATTTTTTACCTTTGGATAGAGAACGGAAGAGGTAAAACCCCTGCCAGGTTATTTTTCTATATATATTCTTTATTTTGTTTTTATAAATATATTGGGGAACTTTTTTATCACTTCCTGTTCCGAGGCACAACAGAAAATTAATGGAAATCTCCTCTAAGTCAGGTGAATTCCCTAGAACAGGTGTCGCCATTGCAAGATTCCCCCTTACCTCTTGTTCTGGGGACAACTCTAAAATTAAGGATTTCCCCTCACTTTTTTCTCAGTGACAATGGGCACCAGTACAAAAAGCAGCCTGAATCTCCCAAATGGGTACTTAGACAGCAAATAAGAGCCTAACCTTTCCCCAGTCTATCAAAAACTAAACATATGATTTTGCTCAGAGATATTCTTTAATACATATGTAAGTACATTCTAAGAGACATCACTATATTCTGGTATAACGATACAAAGACACAAACAAATGCACTCCATTTTCAAACAAAAGAAAATTAGAGGTGAGTTGGCTGTTTTCATTGTATGGCAAAAAGCCAGTCTATCCCTTTTGACAGCCACGTGTATGTTGAAAGAATAATTTACGAAATCTAGCATAGGTTCGCTTCCCTAATAGTTATGAGTTTCATCTGGCCAATAGTCCTGCAGGAGTTTGTAGAGAAGCAGAATCGGTAATGGTCTGATATTCAGTAAGTGGTAACATCAATAATCTTCTGACATGCCCCTGATCCATCTGACCTTTGAACAATGCAATGAAAGAATGCTATTGGAGCTCTTACTTTTAGTGAATTTCTAATTTTTGACCAACCTCCGGTTTCTTCATTCATCACTACTAAATACTGCTGAGGGTTTCAAATAACAATGAGTGTCTGTATTCCAACACCATGCAAATGCCAAGTAAACAGAGGTTACCATAGCAATATGAAAATGACTTGTTACTCTTTACATACGCACACAGCAGATTTATTTTTGGGTGTGTTTTTACAGACGTCACAGCACTAAATAATTACCAGCATGCCTTGTATTTTTTTAGATTTGATAGAGAAAAATCAAAATGTATTCTATTTGAATGATGAAGATACTCTATACTTTTGTGTGGTGCATCTGTTGGTCCAATAAATTATTAACACTACAACACTGCCCTACCACGTGGAACCTTAGACTTTTTATTTTTTTCCTACCTTTGAAAATTTGCAGCTAAGTAACTGGTTCATAGAAAATGAATAGCCGCATCTACATGAAATGGAACTCTTACTTTTACTAGGTCTAGACAGCAAGTCTAGTTTAATTGGCCTGTTTTTGTTGAAGCTCTATGACTCTTGTATAAAGACAGGGAACAAATACATTCATGCAGTTGAATGTATCTGTTCCCTGGTGATCATTTTGCAGCCTGGCACCGCTGTAAATGCATAGACCAGCCCTGCTCAACTTTTTTTTGGCACCCTTTAAAAGTATGTCAAATCTCAAAGCACGCCAGTCTAAAATGTCATAAATTTTAAGGGGGACACAAGAAAACCCAAAAAAGTGGGTTTCCCCCTTCACATCAAAGTGCCCCTTCAAATCAAGGTCCCCCCCCACATCAGAGCCACCCTCTTCATCAGTAACCCCCTCTTTCACACCAGGGTCCCCTCTTTCATATCAGAGTTCCTCCTCTTTCACATCAGAATTCCCCTTTTAGATAAGTTAGCACCTTCACATCAGTCTTTATCCCCCTCTTCACATCCTAGTCCCACTACCTCAAAATTCTGGGGCACCCCTGAGGAAGCCAGAAGGCACAACAGGGTGCAACGGCACCCTGGTTGAGAAATGCTGGTATAGACCATAAACTACTATAGTGATCAGGGACCTAATGATGTGTGTACATTAATGTATAAGTATACCCGGTCATTAAAATGTCAAGTAAATGTTAATTTTTATTATTCTTGAACCCCCAACTTTCATTAATATAATATTTGTTGAGCCTGTTATAAACATCCCGTCTCCCAGCAGAGACTGGTTGTGACAGACCTGGGGTGCCCTAAGTAGAGCACTGCTATGGCACACATAACAAGCTACAGCAAATAGCGGGTGTGGCCTTGTTGAGGGGGGGGGGTGTTAAAGGGATATGGATACATAAAACCTAAGCCTACTCACTGGGGGAGGTTTACCAAAATTGGAGCAGGGAGAATCTGGAGCAGTTGCCCCTAATAATCATTTATCTTTTCAATTTGTTCGGTTAAGCTTTGAAAATTAAAGATATTAGCTCATTGGTTA